CTAACAGTTTCTGTATGTTCTACCATAATTGGCACCTCAATTGAATTGCATATACTGATAATTTAGGCTGCTGCTACGTTTACCCTCAACTCTCCTGATTCATTACCCGTTCTTCACCGCGTCGCGTCCGCAAAAGATCCCAACTCGGCTGTCCAGAATGCCGAGTTCATCCGAGAAGTCGGCCTCAAATGCATCAGCTTCAATGGCATCCCACGAACGATCAATTCCCTAAATGCATTCCACGCATCGCTCCCCGAAGAAGTAACATCAAAACTCTCCACGAAACCAAGCCGACAACCGACGTCGCAAAACATCGACGAGGCGTTGGCGCGCGGTCGCGGACTATGGGATTCGATCTACAGGCCGTACGAAGATAAGCTCTTTGAGAAGCTGGCGCTTGCGCATCCCGATTTACCCGTTTATATCCTCAGCAGTCACTACTCTGCCCTTCTCTCCGACCCTCCTGCTTCACAGCGCGATACACTTGCTAGTCTTGGGCGTGTTCATACGTCCATGATTGCTATTTCTTGTCTACGTGCGCAGACTGGTGTTGGACCGCAGGTTTTGTCGCATGTGTTTGGATTGAGAAAGGCGCTTGAGGATGGGTCGTATAAGAATGATCAGGATGGAGAGAGCGAAGAGGCCGTACAGTATTTGGCTAGTGATGAGGGTGGACATTGGATCTTGAATACAGTGGATAAGATTGTTGAGGCCATTGGTGGAAGCAGCTTTGCGCCGGGTAGAGACTCGAAGCTGTGATAGACAATAGACGTACAATTGGATAATAAACAATTGAGTTCATTCGATAAAGCTATTTGCAACGGTCTAAGCGCGGAATGGCTGTAGGTTCAACGGCGAAAGGTGCAACGTCGAGGCACCTTTCGCCACTTCAATTGACTTCTCAAGTATGTACAAGAAATAAATACCCACCCCCATCTAGGTCTGTCCCTGGTAAAGAGCAGGACCCTTTCCGTCAAAGAACGTCTCATCCAACAGCGACAATAGCACCTTCTGACCCGCCCATTGCTCCTCAGCATTCGGTCGGATCTGCTCAGGCGGAAGAACAAAACCATTCTCACCAGTATCACGCTGCTCAATAGTATACGAGAACTTGGCCCCTCCAACACTATAAACATGATCAGGAGCAGCGCCAGTAGTGACGTATAGAACAGCACCGCTGGGACCAAAAGTATACGTCGTGTGGTCATCTGTGCTCTCGCGAATAGCCTCACTAACCAACGCAGCAGCCTTGGTCCACTTTCCAAGCTCAGGGGCGTACAGATCCTCCTTGTATCCGAAAGGAGAGAGGATGTACTGCCCGTAGCTGTGCCAGTCGATGTATAGCGCAATGCCCACCGTGTCGCGGAGCTGACGGACGAATTTATCGAGACCCTGGTTCTCTGGGGTGTCGGCGGGCTTCTCACCGCGATAGACTTGGGAGCAGGGATCCGTGGAGGCACCGCGCTTGTTGGAGTCCCAGCCGAATTCCCAGTTACGGTTGATATCGCGACCATAGCACGATTGGTTGGCTGCAGTGGCGGGAGGAGGTTGGCGGTTCTTTCGCCAGAGACGATCAGCGGTGGTAGAGTAGACCTGATAATTAGCTTAGTCCGTTAATGTGAGTGCAGAACTTACAAAGCCGTCGGGATTGACAAAGGGAAAGATGTAAAAGTCGTATTTGTTCAGATAAGTCTGGACATCTTCATCCCCGCTCTTGAAGCCCTTGACGAGCTGGAGGGTGATGTATTCGAGGGTCTAACGGTCAGCCACGAAAGTCAATAGGTAGCAACAAACTTACAGGACCTGAGATCCATTCACGGGCATGAACAGTTCCATGGTAAAGCACAGCAGGCTTTCCAGGACCATCGTTACCCCAAAGATGAAGCCCATATATGTTCCTTTTCTGGTACGACTTGCCCGACGACACGAGCTTTGAGTTGTTGGGGAACTGCGCCTGCAAGTCGCGGAAGTAATCAATGTGATCCTCATAGTTGTGAAACTCATCGAACCATGAATCATCATCTGCCTGACGCTTCCACTTCTTGCGCGAGACGCTCTCACCCGTGATTGAAGTACCGAGGTTCTCGTGCAGAGTGGTGTAATCAAGCTTCAGACTCTCAAAGGCGCTGATGTCATTGGGTGCAACAACGATGTCAACGTGTTGATAGCCATGCTCCCACTCGTCGAAAGTCACAGGAGTGAGCTTCTCTTTGATGGCGGCTTTGCCGTGGGTGTTTACACGGAAGACCTTGTAGCCATCATAAGACTTGATCTCAGTCTTGGGAACAGCGAGTGCGCCCAAGGCGAGGGTGAGGAGAGAAACGATAGAGTACCTCATGATTGATGCGTGTCGATTGAACTACCTGCAGCCCAACACTGCTATATAAACCACCTCCTCATTCTTGGCGACAGTAACATCGGGCAAAGTTTTGAGCACCGCAAGAGATGATCAGCAAATTAAACAGGACCTTCCCCATCGGCACTGGCGGTCACGTTCGCTATAACAAGGTATCAATGGCGCAAAACCGTTCAACCCGCCCTGCCGATCGTCCCAAATAGACTCGTAACCTTAATCAATTCCCCGCAGCGGAGCCCAACTTTATTCCAAGCCACCAGGGTTCAATGACGAATCTCCAAAAGTTCCACCCACCACACAAAAGTCCATCCATGGATCATCATTACACAAAAGTTCATTTTATTTGGTATCACTCCATCTGCTTCAAATCATCCACCACCGAAAAGTCCGCATCCGTCTTACTCCTAACCTCTTCCACACTAACCCCCGGCGCAAGTTCTGTAAGCGCAAGAGTACCCTGCTCGCGATCTACCTCAAACACACAAAGATCCGTGATGATGGTGCTTACTACACGTGCGCCTGTTAGTGGTAGTGTGCACTGCTGCTTGATCTTTGATGACCCGTCCTTGGCGCAGTGTTCGGTGGCGACGACGATCTTGGTGTTGTCGGGGTTGGCGACGAGATCCATCGCGCCGCCCATGCCCTTGAAGACTTTGCCGGGGATCATGTAGTTGGCCAAATCGCCGACTGCACTGACTTGAAGGGCCTGAGGTTGTTAGCGAGTGAGATGAGAGGGGTTTGAAGAACTTACGCCCAGAATTGAGACATCGACGTGACCGCCGCGGATCATGCCGAATGACTCGGCGGAGTCAAAGACGGATGCGCCGGGGACAAGGGTTACTGTTTCTTTACCAGCGTTGATGATATCACTAATTTGTTAGCGACGCTTCAAACAGAGACGATTGACTTACGGATCAACTTCGTCCTTTGTTGGATAAGCACCCATTCCAAGAATACCGTTCTCAGACTGGATGTGCACCGTCGAATCGGCAGGGAGGAAAGAAACAGCCAGTGTAGGAATGCCAACACCCAGATTCACATAGTAACCGGGCTTCAATTCCTTGGACGCTCGTCTGGCGATACGGTTTCGTCGCTCTTGCGCTTCATTCGTAGCTTTGGGTGGTCCATCCGATCCCTCCTCTCTCAACTTGAGAATCTCGATATTCTTCTCGGCTGTCGATGGAACGATTCGGTCGACGAAAATTCCGGGGAGATCAACGTCGTTGGGGTCGATTGCGCCAACTTCGACAATGTTTTCGGCTTCGACGATTGTGAGTTTCGCGGCCTTGGCCATGATGGGTCCGAATGCTTTTGTTGCGTATCTGACTTGTTAGCACCGATTGAGGAGCCAGTTGAGTAGACATACCGGAATACACAGTTTCCTTCCTTGTCAGCCTTCCACGCTCGAATGATAGCGACATCGCCTTCAATCGCTGTCTCCATGAGGAACGTTCGGCCGTTGAACTCGCGTGTTTCTCTCTTTCGACCTTTTTCCACAACAGCGCCAGACTTGTCCAGTCGCACGGGGATCTCTCCATCCTGCAAAAGTGTGTCTAACCTGTTAGCTTCACTCAATCAATTGACGGACAACGTACGAGCTGCAGTTGGTGTGAAGAATGCAGGAATGCCAGCGCCGGCAGCACGAATGCGCTCTGCTAATGTTCCTTGGGGACAAAGTTCAATAGCCAATTCGCCCGTCAAGTACTTCTTCTCCAACACCTTGTTGTTTCCGAGGTATGATAGAATCAGGCGATCGACTTGGCCGGCGCTTGTGAGCGTCGCCAAACCGCCTTTGCCTTCAACGCCAGCATTATTCGACACAGCAGTCAGCGAATTGAGGGAATCGCGGCCTCTTCTGTTCAGCGCGCCAATCAAAGTATCCGCTACACCACAGAGCCCAAAGCCTGAACTCAGCAGTGTCGAACCACTCTTGATGTCCGCAACCGCAGCATCCGCATCTTTAAAGAGCTTCGACCCTCCCCGCACCGCCAGCGCAGGCCTTGATGTGCTAAATTGGCGCGCTGTGAAGCTGCTTCCCCATGTGAGAGGTCTCGCCCGTAGTCTTAGTAGCTTCGACATGATTGCTGTGATGTTTTGTCTGGTGCAGTCATGATTGCGACTGTGATATGTTTAAAGAAGAGTATCGGGGATAATTCTGGTTCCGAGAGTACGGTAATCGGGGGTAGAAGTAGGACCGCAGAGACGTCATTTTCGGCGGGAGAACTGGCACCGATGAGCTTGAGCGGGTCGGACCCTGAATGCGGTAGTGAGATCGGGTTTCGGGTGTGAGGAAGAATTGGATCTGGATGAACGTGATATTCTCGGACGATTGGAACGCGGTGCTTGGTGTTTTCGCGATTGTTTGAAGTGACCGGATCATAGTTGATCCCACACAGCTGAAACATTACATGGTACGCAAAAGATGTCCAAAGCATTCTCAATAAAGTCATACACAACACCCTGAGCTCGACAGACCTTCAGTTAGGTACTGTACTTTATTCTTAGTCATAGCTCGATTGCATGCTGCATCACGGTTAATTGTGGACCACGAGGATCACAAGCGAAAGTCAATTGTTGTGTTGAACAAGCAGCAATTTGGGTATTAATCTAGTCTAAAGACGCTGACAACTCAAAGCAATTACAATTATTTGTTAATAGGTTCCCGATGGAAGCGGTTAGACTCCCAGCCATCAATCTCATCAACATGAACCTCGCGAACAAGCTTATAACCGCCAATCTTGGGAAGAATGACTGCCCAGATGAGCCAGTAGATGGCGCCAGCAACCAAGATGGCGATACCGACGACGCAGTGGATGTAGTACGGCATGCTCTTGTACTGGTTCTGGCTGGGATCGTCAGGAGCGATAAATGGTGCGATCACCAGATACATGTTGCTGAGAAGGAAGAAGACAGTGACGGGGAGAGTCGCCTTGATCGGAGGGTTCCAGTTGTACTTTGCGCCGTGGAGGTAGAGGTGGACAAGACCACCAGCGACAAAGGTGTTGACGATCGCAAGAGGATAAGAGATGAGGCTGATTGGTTAGCGACATGGACAGACAGAGTTGAGGCAGATACATACTTGAGGATGAAGTTGTAGGCATCTCCAGGAGGGGGTGCAAGAATGACAATAACGCAAATGACCCAGTGCTCAAAGAGGCCAGCGAGAGGAGCGTTGAAAGGTCGGTTGCTAGCCCAGAGGCGAGAGAAGGGCAGAATACCCTCGCGACCGAGTTCCTGGACGAGACGACCCTGAGAGAAGATGACACTGAGGACGTTTCCAAAGGCAGACAGAGCGACAAAGACGGACATGGCGCGCTCAGCAGCAGGGCCCATGACATTGCGGAAAAGCGAGGCAGCGACGAGACGCTCAGAGGCAATGATCTCAGCCTTGGAGACGGCGGCGAAGTAGGCGATGTTGACGAGGATGTAGATGATGGAGACCGAGATGATGGCAGTAGGGGCAGCGATCTTGAGGGTTCGCACGGGGTTGCGGGTTTCGCTGAGGGCATAGTTGGCGTTGCTGTAACCGACAAAACTCCAGATGACGTTGTACAGAGCAGTGACAACACCATAAGCGCTGCCGGTAGTACCCTCAAAGGCATTGCTGAAGTTGTTGGGCTTCTCATCAGTCTTGAGATGACCACCAAGAGCGACGAAACCGCAGATGATCATGATGAAGACGATGATGAGCTTGATGATACCAAGAGCATTCTGAAGACGAAGGCCCCATTTAAGAGCAGTTCCGTGGATGATGAACGCAGTCGTGATGCAAGCCAGACCAATACCACGCTGGTTCCAACGGTCGACCTCCTTGTTGGCAGCATGCAGGATGTACTCTCCGAAAACGACAGAGTTGCCAGAAGCCCAGCCCATGAGAATGATGTATGAAGCGTAGATGCCAGTGACGAGGAACTTGGGCTTGCGGTAGATGAACTCGAGATAGTTCTTCTCGCCGCCGTTCTTGGGGATGCCGGTTCCCCATTCGAGGTAGACGGCTGTGCCAGCGGCGGCGATGATGGAACCAACGACCCAGATGATGAGGGCTAGACCTGGACTGCCGAGGAGAGCGAGGATAGAGCCGGGTGTGGCGAAGATACCGGTTCCAATGACACGGTTGAAGATGAGCATAGAGGCGCTCAGAACACCGATCTGGCGCTTATTTTCGGCGGCAACATGAAGACGACCTGTGGAGTTAGCAAGACTCTCATGCACAATTGTCATTGTAGACATACCCTCTTCACTGTCTGAACCGACATAGTTAGTCTTGTTAGCCTTGGGCTCAAGACCCTTGAGATCGTCGTTACTCATGATACCAACTCAATACAAAAACCCAATCTCTGATGAACCACCTCCAACCAAAAGGGGGATCCCCCATCCCCTTTAATACCTCCCCCATACCTATCCTCATTCCCCATGGGAAGGCAAAAAATTAGAAAAAGCTTGGGTGGTCCACCACGCAGCGGACCCAAAAGTCTAGAAGGCCGCCAGAACGGCACGATCCTTGAATCGTGCCACTCGGTGAGCCGCCAATCACGACGGGGCTGTGGATGGGGTGAAGCTCTTGGTGGGCAGCTAATGTGTCATGAAAATATCTGCTTGGTGTTTTTAGAGTGACTAGGACGATGACGCGATCTGAGGTGATCGCACGCTTATTTCCAGTTGACCAATGAGGTTTGGGTGACATGCGCAGTTGGTCCACTCTGGGCATGGGTGAGAAAAAGTCTCCCCGGGCATCGCGCCGCTTGTATAAGGATCCAGGCTTGTGGGACTGCGGCTTGTTGAGGCTCAATTTAGGTCTTTGTTTTAACTACCTTCCAATTTCAGCAGTGGATATTTGTGTATGAGGTATACGATCGGGAGGCCGGGTGCGTATGCATCAAGGATCGATGGAAGTGGTTGCTTGTCAAGAAAATTACATCCCACGCTCATCCTGACCAGCAACAGGGAGCACCGCCTCGTGTGACTCCCCGAGGCATTGCGTGATGAACACACATACTTCCAAAGACAGTTAAAACAACAATAATAAACTCAATCCCTTTCAGCCTGTAAGGCCGTACTCCCCGAAGATCCCTGCTTGCCACACGGGAGCTGCGATAATATCACCATCGTCGCCTCAGACCACGTCAAGTAAGCTCACCTGCCTGATCTACCATAGCTTGAACAAAAGTTCGAGAATGTTTTTTTTATTACTTCTTGGCTGTGTAGTGAATTGCTGAGCTATTGGTTTGCTTGTGTTGAAGCTAACTTGTTGTTGGGTGCTGGCCGATGACGTGCCCGGGCCAAGTGATTGTCCCTTAACTTAATATTTTTGCTCGCTTTTGCACGCTTTGAACCGGGTTTCATGTGAAGAACTGTGAGAAGGATGAAATATGTCAGATATCAACTGCCTATTCTGTGTTTGTTGCCCGTGAATGTTGTTTGCCAAGACGATCTGGAACTCAGATCATAGAGATGATCATTTGCAATACAGCCACCAAATAGAGTCATGGCCAAAGGGGGGAAACACCGATCATAGATCGGGAATCCCACGGTCAGCAGTTGGATAGAGTAAGACTTACATGATCTCGTGTCCAATATCGCACATCTCCCCACTGAGGAGTACGATCGAGAACGACACTACTGTATCCTTGACGATGCGGGTGGCGTTAGTTTGCCTGGCGGCTATTAACCTAGCATGATCTTCCGGCTACTTGGCCCGATGGCGTTTAAGGTCTTCCTCACCATTGGAGGGTTTTTGCAATTCCTTTTCGCTGAGTGGTTGCAATGTACATATGTATTGATGTTACTACCCTGCAGCTGAGGTTTATTTTGACATACCAGATAGCCCATCTATATCCGTTGGAGTTATAGAGCCATATGGATCTTCAAAAGATTATATCAACATGCTATTGGGATTGTGCTTATATTTATGGTACAAAGGCTTTCGGATTCGTGATTCTGTGTGAAGGGCGAACTCCCAGCTTTTGTTTCAACGCCATTGAGCAAATGCACAACACTGTTCGGTTCGCTGTTTTGAGTTCTTTGTGCTGGTTTAACTTATTAGCGTTAATATCCTCTCTTTACTTTGCTTTAAAAACTCCTAAATTTGTCAGCATTTGTTATTTTATTAGTATTTACTGACCTTATAATCTGAATGTCAACTTTTAGCTCTTCAGTACACACCGTATCATATACCTATATTTGGTTTATACACAACTCAACTCAATGAATATGCATCTCCAGGAGAACTAAAGCCTCTTATGTGCTAGACAGTATTAATTTAAGAAACCAACAGAAACCCAAGAACTCATGAGTGGGGTGCTTGGCGGCTTGACTATTGAGAAGTTAAGAACTAAACAGAGCCAAGAGCATAGCCTGCATTAAGTACAAAGGCGATTTGAACCTATGCACTGCAGGAGTTGTTTCGACTAAGAGATTCCAGGCTTCAGAGAGTGATTGGCTCATAAGTGGCTTCTTGTTGACACTGTAGACATCATACCAAGAAACAAAAAGCTCATCATGGCCTCGCCTCCGTTCTTCAAGCTACACCCCTATATAAAGGCAGTGTTCTAATTGTTCAGTCACACTGACTTGCCGTTATTAAAGATAAGACTAAGATGAAAAGAAGTTGGAAAAAGGTCCACTGGCATTTGTCTGAGATGAAGCTGACTCAGACGTTTGGCGGGACACATGAAAGCCATCATGACACATGGGCAGGACTTGAGTGCCAACATTGTAACAACGGCACGTACAAAGATCTCATATTCTGGGATCATTCAAATTAATGTAGAGTCCTGGTGCATGGGCCGGTTTTGCTGCATTTTGGGAAGACACCTGATAAAAAAAAACGTGATGGTCTGTTGCAGCTCAGTCTCATGATATGAGCATCAACCACCACCCACGTGGGTCAGCATAGCAGCAGATGTGTCGTTCATTCGCGATGAAAGAGTAAATAGGAGGTTGGCGAAGGAGTTCTAAGGCACGTACTCCGTACGGTTTTGAGATGCTTGCAGCTTGGTTCCTAAAGCCTGTGTGCGTGCCGAGCATGCCGAAACATATCGTGGGGTCTTCAATTGATCTCTGGGCGTCGCATCATGTCAATGATTAACACTAGCACCATTCACTAAATGCCAGCTATAAAACCGCCAATAAGAACAAGCAATCTTGCGAGTTAATTGACAGGCACAGTGTGCTGTTGACCATGACGGCATAGTCATGACAAGCCGCATGGCCCGTAGCGGTTCTAATTGCATGCCGATCTCTTCAACGGTCGGTGAATCAGTCACACGAGCAATTTCTAGGCATAAAGGACAACATTCAGATCAGCTCTTTCACCTTGCAAACTCTCTTTATGTCTTTATCTGCAGCCGCATCAATTGCCGATATACAGTCAGCAAACGTGGTGGCTGATTGTGGCGTCACAGCCCCATATCAACGCGTTGCCGGTCAACGCGCCCACGCTCAGCTCAACTTGCGACCAGCATCTAACCACAGTGACGCAATACCACAACCGCTGAACACAACTCAACGCGAACAATCGCAAAGTCATCGCGACTATCGTGGTTTTCGCTGCAGAGTCATGGTATCACCCAACAAAGGTATTTCTCCCCTTCGCATGTCGCTGCTTCCGCTCACAATCCAGATCCCTACGACTTTCCAGCTTCCCCGTTAAAGACCCGAGAAGCTATGACTGCAGAGAGCCCTTCCAAGGAAGATGGCCTGGTCCATCGCGAGAAGCCCGACACCACCAAGGCTTCTCCTGCTTTGAGAACCGGCACTCCTCGTGGAAATACTCCTCGGGGCGCAACCCCACGAACTTCATCCCGAGTTGGCACACCCAAGGCTGGCACTCCGCGCGGAACCCCCAAAGTCAGCACCCCTAAGACAGAGACCCCCGCGAAGAAATCTGCACCCGTCGTCTCCGATTCCCCTGCCGAACCCGCCGAAAAGAGCCTCGAGAAGAACGGCAACAAGCTCAATGGAGACGAGGTGAACGGCGTTGAGGTCAACGGCGATGCGCCTAAACCCGCCAATCCCGGTTTTAAGGAAGATGTGGCCATTGACGAGTTCATTGAGCATCGTGTCGACCCCGACAACTCGACCGTCGACATCAAAGTCAAATGGGAAGGCGGCGAGACCACCTGGGAGTCGGAATGGAGTCTCCAAGAGCAGGTGCCCACGCTGGTCTACAAGTACTGGGACAAGCTCGGAGGTCGAGAGGAGGCAACCCAGCTGGACGTCTACCACGTCTTCAAGATCCTCAAGTGTATCCCCGCCGCTGGCAGAAAGAAGACCAGCTATGAGGTCCAGTGGGTCGGCTACAAGCAAAACGACTCTACCTGGGAGAACGAAGAGAAGCTGCGATTGATCGCGCCGGGCGAGCTGGAGAAGTTTGAGGCTAAGCAGTTGGCTAGCGGCGCTTCTGCTGAGAAGCGCAAGACTGCACGTGGACCCGGACGACCTCGCAAGAAGCCGCGATACGACGACTGAGGAACAATTGGGGAGGGCGAAGAAAACAGTTGGCGAAGAGAGTGAAGCGATTGAAGCGATTGTGGACTATTTACACTTGACAAGGCGCACGCTTCGGCGAAGACAGCCAAAAGGACATGTAGAGAGTATCTGGGCGCACACGATGGATATGTATTTACTGGAACAAACAACACATTAATCAGTCCTTGTGTCCTCCTCCTTGAGCAATGGGTAGTGTCCGTGATCCTCCTTGAACGACATGAGCGAAAATTGCGCAATCACAAAAACCCAGTACAGGTTGTAGGCAAGCACAGATCCATACGTAGCGGAATTGTTCCATCCGACAACAGCATTCAGAATAGCCCAGCCTCCACCACCGTTGAGCTGAGGATTGCAGCACTGGATTGTCAGTTGGGTTCGCAAGGCTGAGGAGGCTACTCACGTTGACGTGCCAGATACTCCTGTCGATATCGTATGATCCAGGACCATCTCCGAGTTCCGCGGCATCACCGCCGACAACCTTGTTCCACTGCTGTTGCTCAAAGAGCCAGATTGCGCGGGAGAATAGACCTGCTGCGACGAGGTAGAGAAGACATGTCGAAGCGACGAGGAAATATTGCAGCTTCGCAGATGAACCGCCCCTGAGATGTTAGACACGTTTGTCAATTGATCGACTGACTTACCGGTAGAGAGCATATCCGACAAGGCCGCCCAGCATCAATCCCATGATGACGGGGAGAGGAACGGCAGAAGCGGGTGCAGAAAATGAGACACCAGCGACAAAGACGATGCCCTCGATACCTTCACGAAGAACAGTGATGAAGGGCAACACAAACATGGCGTACTTCTCAAAGAGATTG